CAGCCAGCAGCACCTACACTTGATCTAAAAAACCAAAAAATAAAATTATTTTGCTTTAAGTACAAAGAATATGTTAAGCAAACTTTAAGGCAGTGAAAAATTCCTTTTTTCATTATGTCATGTATAAGGACATAATGAAAAAGAAAGGTATGAGAATTTTTCATCATAGTCAAAACAACCAGGGAAATTCATTGACACCATACAGGCACACTGTTATCAAATACAATTTTACTACTAATTTTAGCTTTAAGTAAAGTGAAATCCAAATTAATAAATGGATTTTATTCCCACATCTTTCACATCTTTGGAGCCTTTACAGCATTCTCTTGATGAATTTTACTTAAGAATAGTAGGCTGAAAATATCACCCTGGAGTAACTCTAGAAGAAACCTACATTTAGATGGCCCATGTTGAGAATAGAATTTGCTAAGAGCACTATAGAAGAAACTCACACCTGAATACAGGATTCTCCCCAAAATGAGCAATTCTCAAGCACTCATGTAATTATTGGTAAGCCCAGGATATTGTCTCTAGATTTCTGACCACAGGAAACATCAGACTCTAAATCAGACTGGGTCCTCTCCTCCTAAGCCCCAGCTTTCTGGCGCCACATCATCAGTAGATGTAGACTGCCACAAGACCTGTTCAGCAGTTGGTTCAGCAACCATCTGTAGTTATGGGCTCCAGAAAGCTTAGTTTTCTTCTGGATCCCTTGTCAGTAACAGAAGGGATTGTGAGAAGCATGCATGTCCTTTCCTCATCTTCCAGGTGCTATTTCCACCTTTTTAATTATATATCCATCCACATAGAAAAAGTGATTCTGCATGCTGTGTTGTGCAGCTATAAATATAATATTCAGACATAGCTTTGGAACCATTACATGGGAGTGGCTCTCTGGGGGCAAGGCCAGGAGGGGGTGAGGGAGGAGTCCCAGTCAGGGTCCAGGTACCTGGTGACCCTGCTAGAAGGGTCTGGACAAAGGGAAGTGGTCACCAGGTGATGGACACATCACCTGGGGGGAGACAGGGGGATGGGTTGGGGTTTGATGGACATGCAGGTACTGATGGGAAAGCTGGGATGAACCAAACAGATACAAAAAGGGGATATGGAGGGACAAACCATGAGGGGATATACAGTGCAAACACAACTCTACAGTGGGACCTGTTTGTGAATTCTCCATCTGACAACATGTCACTACTGGATGTATTTTAATTGCTGTCCCAGTCATTGGTGAACTCAGCATGCTATGTCTGAATCAGCAACAGTGTGTACTTTCAGCTATAAATTTTACAATGAGTAACAGCAATAATGTTAAACCTCTGGACAAGGGGCAGAGAGGGATCTTGGAAGGCCACCAAGGGCAGAAGAAGCATCTCTGTTTTCCTCTCCTAACCTCCCTTCTACTGCCAATCTGACCTTACTGAAGTCCTGAGACTTCTCTACAGACAATCTCCTGGCAGAGAGATGCTGCACTGTGAGGGAGAGCTGCACTAAGAGCACAAAGACTCCTGCTCTGAAGTCCAGGGACTCTGCACATCTCTCCTCATGTCCCTTCTCACTGAGGGGCACTACTCTCACTACCCCTGTGGTGCAATGGCTCTGCTTGGGCACCACTATGTTGCCAACAAGGTTCCTTCAGTGCAAAGACTTGGCAGGTCTGCATTTCCCAGAGTGATGGCACATTGTGCAGCCAAGCACTGATGGGATTGAAAGCGTGCCTTTTGTATTAGAAGTACAGATTTTGAGCTTGGTCACCACATATGATAAATGTCATAGCTGAAGGGATAACCTGGTAAGATTTTCCTCTGTTCATTTTTATAAGATAACAGGATAATGACTGCATTGTATGTACAGGTAGGATAATGCAGTTTGTTCTGTCTTATTCATGTCTCTGCTGGGCATCAGAAGTTCCAGGAGAAGAAAAATAATTTGAACAAAGCTTTCAAAAGGGGTGTCTTGTTTAGAATTTAACTTTGTATGTGCTTACATCTAATAAGACAACAAACTTTGATTATAGTAAAAGCACTAAAAACACTAGCCACTGTATTTTTAAAGAGATAATTTGTCTATCTCTGAAGCATGTTATCTGTAAAGTGAAGCTTATTCACACAGATTCTGCACAACAGAGTATTTATTTATATACTAGTGAATCATATATATATATATACATATACGTATATCTACATGTAAGTATGTATGTATGTATGTATGTATGTATGTATGTATGTAATTGACCCTGTCAGGATCACATTAATATTCATTAAATATTAGATTCATAAAGGTCTCATCAGGAAATACAAACCTGCTTAGACACATTTCCTTTTTATTTTTTTTTTCCTTTTATCGACATTTGAATTTCTTCATTTAAAATAAAAAATGTGGGCATTTTAGTTTGAATGGCCACAGATAACCCTACCATGGCCAGAGAAATCAAGATAAGCAGAAAGTCAAATTTATCTTCCCTAATTTATGGTAAGTTTTGTTCACTGAATCTTGGCACTTGACCTTGGCTTGGTTCTGCTTCACTGTCTCTGCATCCCACTCATGTTTCTGTCTGTGATGGAGTGAATGGTCTTCCAGCAAAGAGGGCTCTGAAGCATCAGTGAAGTAGAATTACAGGCTTCAGAAATGTTTGACAAATTATAATAAATTTTGGGAGGTCAGCAAGGCATTGTTTCCCTTTGCTGGTTTGCAAAGCACATAATGTGCAAAGTAAAGTGTTTGCCCTTCCACTCTGTTGGTAGCCAACTGACCTGCATACAGACACAGAGCTCTAGACTAACAGAAACACTGCTGTACGTGCCGCCTTCGCCTGGGGAAGGGAGTATTGCTGCAGGGAACAAAGCAGAGAGACACTGCAAAGAGCAGGCAGGAAGCTAAAGCGCAGAAGGGCAGAGGATGGAGATCTGTGACAGCAAACGGGGAGTGGTTGTAAGGGAAACAGATGGGAAGAAAGGCAGATGGGAGATTAGGATTCAAACACAGAGTAACCCAAACTTTTTAAAATCAGATGGTCATGGAAAAATGTAGTGTGCTTCCAGTCACTCCTAGAGATTGAACTGGATGATCTCAAGAACTCCCTTACAATAAATATAACTTTTTGTTTAGCATCAGCCCTCCAAATTGCAAGTGTTTCACTCTACAATGTATAGGATCAAAGGGTTTCCCTAACTAGACAAAGATGATTGTAGCAAAAAATGTACATAAAATCAGATCCCCATGAGAACCCAACAGAAAGGTAATTTATTTATTTAACGGACCATATAGGAAATGCTACAAATAGGATTGGTCTTTTTGGAATCAATATTTTTAAAATTTAAATCTTACATTGCTATTTGTATATAAAATTCTGTAGCTACTACAGAAAAGTTTACATATAAGAATTTAGAACCAAAATATCTATAATAACTTCAATAAATTAAAAAATAAAAACAAGTACAAAAAATCAAAACAAACAAACAACTACAGAGAAGAAAGTTGTTTAAAGAAGCTGCAGGAAAAAATAATTTCAGAGTGGACAATAAATTCATAGAGAAAAAAAAGCAGCACATAAGGAATCCATGTCTGCTAGACCAAGGCTCTGAATTAACTTCAGAAGATGGAGCCAAGAAGCAGCAAAGAGGATAAAATAACCCATGTGTCCTGAACTAATTAGATACTTCTCTGACACAGCCCACTCATTTTTGTTGGTTCAGGCCTGTTTCATGGCTGGTTCCCTGTGTTCCAGTGTCCCTCACTCTGGTCTGAGTTCCTCTGAAACCACAAGCAGATGTTCTCTAGACTAAAATTCAGAACAGATAGAATAGGTTCTATTGAAAGGTTGAAATAACTAGTGGGGTCATTAGCAATCTGCCCAGAATTGATGATGTTTTGGAGATGTTTTGAGAGCAGATACATAAGCATGAAGTGGGAAGGAGGCATCATTTTATAGATCTAAATCGACCACAGATTGTGCTCTTAAAACATCTCTGCACATTCTTGGGGAAAAAAGGCAGGGAAAAGAGCACATCTACGTGATTATTTCCCAAGATGTTGTACTCATAAAAATGTTCATTTGTCATTGAGATGATTTATTGTGTTCTTCACTTGGAGCTATTGTCAGTCCACAAGAGCTATTTCATTAATTTACAACTGTGTCAAACCAAAGTTTTACGGATCTGTCATTTTAATCCAGATTATTTTTAGTGCAGGTGTTTTGCTTACACAGAAGGAAGCAGCAATATATTGTGATCAAAGAGGACTTAAAAGTCCACCAGCTCTCCATCAGGTGCTGGCTGACTCACTGGCTTTTAATGTGTAACTAAGGACTAGCAATCGAAGTAGCTGTTGATAAGCCTGTCTCACTGAAGTTAACAGGAATGTTAATGTTAAAATGCTGTCCGAATGAATACTGACGTTGACTCAGTTAACACTGCTAAAACATTAAAAAATTTGAATAAAAAGTGTAGGGAATGTTATGATTTATTAACAGCTCTCTCATTTCTGTGGATTAAATCACTTCAGACCTACGGGTTCCTTTGCCCTCAGCTTCGCTCTGCCGCTCCCGGTCCCCGCTACAACCCCCGCAGCCGCTTTGGGCGCCTCGCAGCCCAAGAGGCAGCACCGCAGAGGCGCGGCCGTGCGGGGACGAGCGGAGCCCTGCGGAGCTGTGCGGGGCGGTGCGGGGACGTGCGGGGCGGTGCGGAGCGGTGCGGGGACGTGAGGAGCGGTGCGGAGCCGTGCGGGGCGGTGCGGAGCCGTGCCGGGTCCGTGAGGAGCCGTGGGGAGCTGTGTGGAGCGGTGCGGGGCCGAGCGGAGCCGTGCGGGGCGGTGCAGGGACGTGAGGAGCGGTGCGGAGCTGTGTCGGGTCCGTGAGGAGCCGTGAGGAGCCGTGCGGGGCGGTGTGGGGCGGTGCGGGCCGTGAGGAGCCGTGCGGGGCGGTGCGGACCGTGCGGGGCCGTGCAGAGCGGGGCTTTGTGCAGCGGAGCCCCCGCCGCGCCCCCGCCCGGCCCGCCCCGGCCCGCCCCGGCCCCCGGGCGGCCAATGCATGGGCGGGAAGGCACAGCCGGGGAAGGAGCCGGGAAAACATCAATCCCAACTTTCTCACCTTGACTGGAACCGAGCGCTCCCGATGTGTCCCCTCCTGCCGCCCTCCCTGCCAGCCCAGCCTCCCCAGGAGGGCCGTCCGACGGCCCGGGCTCGCCTCGCCGGCTGCCTCCTGTCCCTGGCGGGGCAGAAACCCGAGTAGGGGGGTGCCCCTGGGTCAGTCTCCCTCGGTCCCTGCTGCCCGGGCCGGGCCGGGGGCAGGGGCGGCTGCGCGGCGGGGCTGGATGCGGCTGCCATGGGGCGCGGGGCTCCCCTCGGACCGTGCCTGCTGCGGGCAGCGCTGCTGCTCGCCCTCTGCCCCGCCGCCGGCAGCACCTGGATGTGAGTAGCCGGCGCGGGGTCGGGGAGGGAGGGCAGCGCCGAGCCCGTCCCCTCGCGTCCGTCGGGGCCCGGCGCTGACGGGCGGCTCCTTCCGCAGGTGGCTGGGCATCGCCGCGGCCGGCGGGCCCGAGAAGCCGGGCTGCGCCAGCCCTCCGCTGAGCCGCCGGCAGCAGGACCTGTGCGAGCAGAAGCCGGAGCTGATGCCCGCGATCCGGGAGGGAGCGCGGCTGGGGCTCCAGGAGTGCCGCAGCCAGTTCCGACACGAGCGCTGGGACTGCCGCTCGCCGCCCGCCGCCCGCCGCGGCACCGCCGGCCCCGCCGCCCTGGGGCAGCAGCTCAGCAGCGGTGAGTGACCGCCCCGGAGGGCCGGCAGGGCGGGCCGGGGCCCGGGCTGCCCCGGGGTGATGGGTTTGCGAGGCCAGGAGCCCCGCGGGACAGCGGCGGGGACCGTCCGTGCGTCCCCTGGGCAGAGCCGGGCAGAGCCGGGCCGGGCGGTCCCCGCCGCCGTCCCGGGACGGACCGCAGGCACACGAAACGCGCCGCGCAGACGAAACCTGCCCTCGTCTTTGCAACCTTGTGGCTGCTTGCTGTAATTTTCGCGTAGTACGTCCGTGGTTGATGCTGCCCGTAGGGAGATCCACTTAACTGTGTTGAAACACTGTTGTTCTTAGACTTACGTTGGGTTTATCCCCTCGTGTCATAGTTACTAAGTAAGTGGGTTTATGACATGTTATTTCAAAAAGGTCACTTGCAGCTAAAAAAGTCTGCTCAGGGCACTAAATGCAATGTGAAATTCTTTAAAATATATCATATGTGCCCAGTTATGTGGTATTGATCAGCACAGTGAAACCAAAACCGCCTTCTTTTTTCTTTTTTTTTTTTTTTTTTTATAAAATAATTATGAAATTGCTGGAATTTCCACTGAAACAAAGATGAGTTTTTTGTATCAAATGTCACACCAAAGCTTTCCTGCAAGTTGCAGGGATCCTGCAAAAATTTATTTTAGCTCCCTGGTCACTGATTGTGTGATGGAGATGATTTTAAGTATTGTGGTACTTCACTTTGTGCTCATGCAATCTTCACTTTGTAGTAAAACAGTGTAAAACCCCCAAGTTTTAATAATGAAAACATAAGAAGTGGTGCATATTCCAAAAAGGAAAGGGGAAAAAAGGAAAACGAGAATTTTCCCTACTGTATGGAGCCATAGGTGTGTTAGTCCTTCTGTTCAACAGAAAGGACTGTTCCTGAAGACCCATAAATGAATGCCACTGTTCACCCACAAAGCTTCACTAGTGTGTACTGTGGAAGACTTTTATGATGGTACTGGCACCACAGACTAATACAAACAGGAGAAACAAACAGGACTTTTCCTGCCCATAAGCAGAAGTTGTGGAGACTGGAAATAAATAATTTTCACAGCAGTGAAAATTTGCCCACTTCAGTAAAATTTCAACTACATTTATTGACCACTCAATGATATTCAATTTGCTTAGAGTATGCTTTACTTAACACAGTAATGTGTTAAATGTGGCTGAGTGCCACATTATGCCAGAAGTGTCAGAGAATGGGTCAGGCATAAGAAGCCCAGGCAGGTCCCTCCATGACTCCTCTGAGATAGAGTCTAACAAATAAAGGCCTTTCATGCTGCTGTCTTTCCCATGGCCAGCTTATTCTAGGAAAAGCACATGGCCTAAATATCTTTGTGCTGATTTCTGCCTGGTTTAAGACTTTTGGAGCTCTTTGCAACCTTTGTGATTTAGAAGAACATCAATGTTTGCTAAATTTAGCATGAAGTAAGTTTTGGCCCTGTACCAAAGTAACCTGGGGTCATGACAGCTTCTCTGAGATTTAGATTGACCTTTTCTTCTTCAAATCAATATGAATAGTAAAAAACAGAGTGGAGAGTAATGGATTTGGAATGTGGTTAGTTTGGAGTTTGATTTTCTATTTATTATTCGGCTAGAAAATTTCTGTGGCAAATAAAATTCCTAATCAGATTTGGAAAGCAGTTACCAAAAATTGCATGGTAAAAGTGGTGAGAAACAGCATCATTAATAGCATGGCCATATGAAGAAGCCCTGAAATAATTTTGGGGTATGAACATCCACTGCTTTGAACAAGTTCAGACTACAGGCCAAGCTGTGATGACTTTAAACTTGTAACTGTTCCCTTTTAATAATCATCTGGCTTGCAAAGTCCCTTTCTGTAGGCCAGCCAGGAAGGTGATCAGAGGCAGCTATGGGTAACGTTTGCACGCCTTGCTGTGCAGGCACGAAGGAGACCGCGTTCATCTCGGCGGTGACGGCGGCTGGGCTCGTGCACTCGGTGACACGGTCCTGCAGTGCAGGGAACATGACCGAGTGCTCCTGCGATGTCACCCTGCGGCACGGCGGCTCGGCCAGCGAGGGTTGGCACTGGGGCGGCTGCTCTGACGATATCCACTATGGAATGTCCTTCAGCAGAAAGTTCCTGGACGTGCCTTTCAAGAACGTAACAGGCAAGAGCGGGAGCGGGCTGGTGGCGATGAACCTGCACAACAACGAGGCTGGGAGGCAGGTAAGTGTCATTCAGGTGTGGCAGCAGCTCAGTCACCTTCACTGACAAAATGGCATCAGCCAAAGGAGGTGGGGCCTTGGCTGCAGGTTTTAACCAACTGATTTCTCTATGCTAAAATAAAATACACAAAATAAGTAATAGATCTGCTGTGCTTAAATAGTAAATTTATCTTAATTAGATATTTGATATTCGCTTGCAAAGTTGAAATAGTCCTGTTATCATCATAATATGATATGATTTTTGTCACTGATTATTCTGTTATTATCATGACCTGCATTTATAATTCTCTCTAATATTGACTGAGAAGACCAGCTAGACACAAGGCCTCATTACTTATCTGCAGCCTGCAGTCCACACCTGGGTGCAAGTTTAACATTTTTCAGAGGGGAAATCAAGAGTTAATATATTCTTTAAAAATATGGGATAGAAATGACACCTTCAAAGTAGCTCATTGGTTAGGACATGCATCAAAGAAGTGAAAGGAGACTGATTTTGGATGGCTTTTTTTAAGTCCAAAGAACTTCCAACCCAGGGTTGCTGAGGAAAACTGTGTGTTTGGGTGCATGACATTGGATTCTCCTTCCTGTCCTGCAGAGGATGTAAAATGGGGGCAGCAATAGCCTATACAGGGACATGTGAGCCTGTAGTCTAGTGCTTGGAGCTTTCATCTGGAATGGCAGAGATTTGTATTATTTTTCCTTTTAAATTATGTTTTTGTTTTTGTTTTTGTATTTTTTTCCTTTAAAATTACTTTTTTTGCTTTACCTTGGAGATTTCTTCTTTAATGGCTCTCTGGGCCCATAATACTTTAAATCTGTTTTGCTCAGTGACACAGCTTTAACTAAAGGGAAAAAAAAAAAGGGAAAACCTCTGGTTTTGACTACACATATTGATGGGCTCCATTGTGACTCTGAAATCTCCTGTAGCTGGAAGCAGCATCAGTGGGTTTTACTGTAATCCATTTTTCTATCTGCCGTAGACAAGGAGTAGCCATAGTAAGCCATCCTAAGAGCCATGGTGATATAATTGAAAATTACTTTAATTTGTAGTAATTTTTACAGGTAATATGTGTTATTTCATTTAAGCTATGTAGTTGGAAAAGCAGAAAATATTTCAGGTTCATTCCAACCCAAATAATTTCATGATTCCAGGTGACAAAGATCCTTTCTATAACTGAAGTAGTTGAAGCAAACTTTAAACCTAAGTAAAAGCTGAGACCTAAAAGCTATGAGTTTAATTATATGTCAGTCAGCTAAATCATCTCCAAGGAAAGGTGATTGGTATCTTGTAGTAGGAGATGTTAATAAGAGGAACAGAAGATTAAATTATTATTTTCTTAAGGAAAGAGCAAAGAGTTGTTTATCATATTTGTAGAGTGAGATAGTTAAGGAAGAAATATATATAGTCAGCTTCCATGAATTAATATTTTGTAATTTAATAGCAAAATGTAGGATAAAGCAAATATTTTGATCACTGTCCAGAATGAAAAAGAATGTTTATTGTTGGTGCTTGGGATTTCTAGCAGCAATGTTATCTAAAGTAAAGTTTAGCATAACTCTTCCTTTTTGTATTTTCAAATCTTAATTGGAGATGCTGAAAAATGTTTGCCTTCATGTTTTGGGGCTTACAAGAAGAATGTTTTGATATCTTATGACCTTTTGTAATAAATACTATCATGTTGCTGTTTTGGTGTCTTGCAAGAGCAGTCTTCCAGGGACAGTGCTTCTGTGTTTGTTTGGGGTTAGTAACAGAACTGGTATGTGCAGAATTTTCTTGTTTCTCTCCTATTTCAGTGCAAAATGTTATTTTATACTTCCACATCTCATAGTTATTATATCAACATATAAAAATTTTAAAACTCTGTCTGTTGAATTGTCCACTAATGTGACTCTCAGAAGATTAACATTGCATCCTTATTCTGTTACAAGTTAAACATTCATCATCTTTTAGAATGGCAATTTTCAGTGTGCTTAGATGGGTGTATGTGAGTTGGACTCTTCTGCTCCTTATACAAAAGGATGTGGGGAGTCAGGTACTATGGGTTCACTATCATTGTATTAATATTATTTTACTGCTGGAAAAATTCTGCTTACTTTTCCACTTGTGGAAATTTATTTCATGTGGGACTTTTTTGAGAGTTTGTTTTTACTGATACTTGTGGATTGATAAGAGACTTGCCAAGCTTGGAACTGTTCTTAAGTGATGCACCTCTGGTAGGGCATGTTCTTGTCTTCATGAATAATCATATTAGTTCTACCAGCGGCTGAAATTGCAACCTTTGATTACAGGCATTGGTTCCTGTGACAAAACAAGTGCTGGCAGTCCTTGTCTCACAGCTGAGAGCAGGGCCTGCAAACAGAAAGCTTAACTTGGACATGTTAAGCATTAACTAGCATTAGAGGGTATGCAAGCTGTGCTTCCATTGACACCCTTCTTTGCTGCAAATCAGTCTCTGCTTTCTGCCCCATCTGTCTGTTCTAGCCACAGATTCCCACCCTGTGCTGTTCCCTCTGTTAATTGCACTGGATCAGTGAAAGGAAGACAGTTTAAAAATTATCTTTCTCCCAGGTTTAATTTTAAAAATAGCAGTGTTCATCTCTGTTCATCACTTAACCCTGCGCTCTTGTGTGTGTTCTACCACCGAGGCTGAGTAGCAATAGGGGCAGGAGGAACTGCTCAGATGGGATTGTGGCTGGTGGACCCAGCTCAGACCCACACTGGTCATTTCTCCCCAGCTATCAGTCAGTTCCATAACCCACCTAAGGAAGTTGTCCCAGCTTGCTCAGAATGACACAACTATCCACTAGGTTTCCGTAACAGTGCTCCTCTGAAGCTCTCCATGGAATTTTGTTTCATATGGAGAATCCTTTCACTATTTCATGAATAACTGTACAGGTTCACCATATGAATCTAAAATGTGAAACAGAACACTGGTTGTGTAGCCAGTCTGGAGGTCATGGTCCCAGTAACTCTGCAATCACTGTGCACTGCTGAGACACAGGTGTATGCTGCAGCTGTGACCCACCTGAAGGTCATATTGGCTCTGTAGGCACAATCTTAGGTTTGCTTGTACCATCAGGAGATGCCTAATCCCTAAATTTTGTCAGATGTTCAATTATGGGAGCTTTTTCATTGAAGTTCACATGACAGACTGAGATGCAGTAGCATGTTCTGTGATCAGGCAAAGCAAAATGTCACCTCCCTGTGCTGGCAACTTAAAGTATATTGGAGTCCAGGCTTAAAATTTGCCCATCCTAGCAGCTGGGAAGCAAGATACTGAATCACATTTGTATTTCTTTCATTCATCTGCTCATCCATACACTGCTAATGTATGCTGCATTTTTATATTTTGATATCAGTCTAAGAGTTCAACATCATTTTGTGCTCCTGTTTCAAAATTCTGGCTACCAATAGGGAGTCTAGGACTTAAGTTTTTCTGGTCCTACAGAGGACCAGAGGGGCTTGGTAGGATTTCAGGTATCAGATCTCACTGCAGAATCAAGGCTTAGGAGCTGGCGCAAATGAAATTACTTTCTCAGGGGCAACCAGAGGAGAATGTTAGATTTGTCTTCTGCTTTTTTAAATTCATTTTCAGAAAGACATAGACTGATAGCAGCTAGTATTTGTGGAGGCTGACGGATAAGCAAAGGCTTAGGATGAAATGTAATAAACATCATGTAGTTGGGATGTTGATTTCTTTTTTTGTTTTCCCCATGTTTTGATAAAAGTGGAAAGAGGATTAATTTGAATATGCATCGACCTTGATGCATGAGAAGTTTCAAGACAAACTTACTATAAGTTAATTTAAAATTTACACTTACCGTTAAATTTCCCGATTGCTTTGATTGTGGAAATTAAATATGGGGACAAAGGTTAGTAAAATGGAAGAGGGCAACATGGGCTTTCCACACCACTAACCAATGGCCCATATGAGTTTACAGGATGGTTCCAGAAGGTACGTTGATGCAAATGTAAAACAAACCAAAAAATGTATCTTGTACTACATCTGCACGTGTGATTTTTCAGTGCCTTCTCCAAACTTTAATGTGAGGGTTGTCACAAGAGTAATGATATGATTTTATACGATGGCTATAAGAAGTTAGAGAAGGAAGTATTGTATTGATTGTCTCCCGAGTGTTTGAATCAGTCTCAAGGATATGAGATAAAGGAAGTTACTGCTTGTTTACAGATTCCAATTATTTGAGGCTTGATATCCCATAAACTGAGCCAAAATTGTGTGTTACAAAAAGCTTAACACAGGCTTCAGATTTCCATTGTTGGTGAGACAGTTACTGCTCAGCCCAGCCCTTGCTTCTGCATGGGCATGGAAAAGTGTCTCATCTACGGGTATTTAGGTGTTGGCAATAACTGTGGAAACCTTGCTAAAACATTGAAAGTTATAAAAGTAATACAATGCAACTACCTGGTTGTGTTTAATAGAGCCATTATGGAACTGGAAACACTAGAAACACTAGTGCTAGAACTAGTTATGTCTAAATTAAAAGAGCAAGGCTTAAGCCTCTATGTGAGAAGCATCTGAGATTTACTAGAGAATACCTGAGCCAAAGACTCCTCTGCTAAGCCATGGTGGGTCTTTTGACAGACTTTCTGTGACACTCAGGTATGTGGGCATCCTCCTGCTCTTCCAGCAGTTTGCCCTGAGGTGCCTCTGCCTGTGCTGCTTCATGGGCTGAGCCACACGGTTTGCCCAGGCACTGTTATGTGACTTAAGCCATTCCTGTGGCCTTAGTTACAAACAGGTGTGAATGTTTGGTGATCTTCATGGTAGCTGTAAAACACCCTTAAAAGGCAACATAACTGGGCACTTACTTGCCCAGTACGTGTCTTTCAAAATAGGAAGGGTGCCATGACCTGTCCTATCCTTGCTTTCCCTTTCTGCTAGACCCTTTTGCCCATGAGAGCCTTTTGCATTCCAGCAGTGGGAGGAGCAACACAGGACATGGCATTCAGGTATTTAGGATCCTCCAGAATGAAAAGCCATCCAGAAATCACAGCTTTCACTGTTGTGATCAATATTGCTACATTATGGCCATTGCTAACTGCAAATGAAGAGCAAGTCTGAAGACAATGCCTCTCATAGTGGGCATCCAGGATGGGAAACCTGGCTCCTAACACGTGCTCTGACTTCCCTGTTATGGAAATGGCAGTGGCAGCTGTAACATTAAATACTTTGAGATCTCTTTGCTACCGATGTCAGGCAGCATTCCTGATGAATGAAAGACCACATTCAAATGCTGTTCTCCCTTTGCTTTCAGGCTGTAGTAAAGCTGATGTCTGTGGATTGCCGTTGTCATGGTGTGTCTGGGTCCTGTGCTGTGAAAACTTGTTGGAAAACCATGTCATCCTTTGAAAAGATTGGCCGATTTTTAAAGGATAAGTATGAAAACAGCATACAAATATCAGACAGACTGAAAAAAAAGCTACGCAGGAAAGAGAAAAGCCAGAGAAAAATACCAATTGGGAAGGAGGACCTGCTGTATGTGAACAAATCGCCCAATTACTGTGTCGAAGACCAAAAGCTGGGGATCCCTGGCACTCAGGGAAGAGAATGTAACCGCACCTCGCAGGGACCCGAGGGCTGTAACCTGCTGTGCTGTGGGCGTGGGTACAACACCCACGTTGTCAGGCACGTGGAAAGGTGCGAGTGCAAGTTTGTCTGGTGCTGCTACGTGCGCTGCAGGAGGTGCGAGACCATGACTGACGTACACACCTGCAAGTAAGATGCAGTACAGGAAACATGGCCAAACCATCCACCCTGTGTGGTGCACACAGCTGCTGCAGGGGCAGCAATCACTCTTACCATGTGGGATTCCAGAGGGATCAGCCTCGGGGGGAACAGGTACTACCAGACAATGGGTAGTCCAAGCATGCCTCGACTGAAACAGCTGAGTAAACATCAGGCTGCATGCAGGGACAGCTTAAACAGCAAAAAGGACTCCTGATGACACATTTGAATGTGTTACTCCATGAGCAGAGACAGATGCTAAACTCTTCAAGTATTTAATAGACACAATGTCCTGAAGATCCACGTGGTGGGTAGTAGAGTGGAGAAATCTCAAGATCTCATTAGCCTGAGAGTTAAGAGACTTTAAGACACATTAGACATAGTCCTCATGGCTTTGTTTTTAAAACAGGGACTAGATGGATCCACTAGATAGTTCATTTCTGCAGACTTCAGAAAAACCCACAAAGGGAAAGAGTTCAGCTGTTGACCACGAAGCATTTGCTTTGTAGCCGTTCAGAAAACTGCCTTCTGCATAATGTGCAGAAAAGCGTCGGGAAGCGAGGAGCATCTGTGACTGCAGAGAGCTCAGCAGTGTCTGCCTGGAAAAGGAGGGTCAAGCTGTGCCCGGGGGAGAGAGGAAGGAGCCTCTCCTACCTCTCTAATGTGAATGGGGTACCAAAGAGCAACCTTAGGATTTTTAACAGGTTGTCCTTCAAACACACAAGGGACAGGTCTGAGAAGGGACAGAAATACAGTTTGATATTTGAAGGAAATAAAACCCTCTGCAGGTATTTCCCGAGTATCTGAACACACATTTTGCAAGTCAGCTGGTTGTCACCCCACTCTTGAATTCTATGCAATAACCTGCCACATTCAACCATCTCACTGGTGGTTCACCATCATTATCAAAATTAACCACATGAGATTTAGCCCAAAGGAATCTGCCATAAAGCAACAGATTTTTTAAAACAGATTTTCTTTATAGAATCAACAGCTAGAATTTTTCATTAGGTTGCATCCTCAGTAAGTTCAATGCACAATATAATTTATGGATTGGCTCACACCATTAAAATATTTAAACTGTTAATGATAACACTTTCTCTATCTCCATATGTTGGCTTAATTTTATTTTACATCTGTGAAAGGCTGTTTATTTTTATGCAGTGATTTAATGCCTAGCTTAAAAAGCATCATGTGAAAGGATTACTGTTAATTGTGCAAAGAACTATTTTTGATAAGACAAGAAAGTTTATATTTTGTAAATATTTAAATTATGCAATTTATGTAAAAGCTTTCCACAACTAATGTGATAAGACTACAGCCCTTGAGATTTGCTGGTTAGATATTTGTTAATATTGTAGTAGCCTTCAATTGAATTCTGTTTGCATGTGCTGGGGCAAATTAGTCAGAGAACTGCATAAATGTAAGGGCTTTGTACCATCAGGGTGGTTATAACTACTGCAGTTCATACACACTGATGAGAAACACTATGATTTTCTAAATGGTCAGTTAATTAGTACTTTGCATACTTTCTTTTTTATTATTCTCTTAAATGCATTTTACAAACACTGAAATCCCAGCTCCAGCAGTAAGTACTCCCACTGAAATCCAAGGAACTTGGAAGGGTTTGCAATTCCTTAACTTCTTCCATACTAACAGCCAGTTTTTAAAAGCTTGGGACAGTTTGGCTGAGGCTTTCAAAGTTACTTTGAAGAATTCATTTCCTAGTCATCAATCATTTTCCCAGGAAAGATGGTGACCAGATTCTGAACTGTCACTCTTTATTGAATGTGTAAGTCAGGAGGAAGGAAACAAAATCTTCTGTGTTGTGGTATTTCACTGCCTTATGTGGATTATTTCAGGAACATCAGTTCAGCAACAATGAAGTCCATTATCTGCTGTTTGGACCTTTACTCCAAATTTGGTCAGTCCATCCCCATTGGCCTGACCAAATTATTATCTTGGGACCACAAAAAATCTGCTTGGGGAAGGGTGCCCAGCATGCCAGTAAGGCACTGTCACAGGAGGTTTCAACACCTTCTCTGTGAACACTTGGATAGGGAAGACATACCACAGTGGAAGACCCTGAAAAGAGAGCTGTGACCCCAGGTTGTTTCAGCAATGAAGATAAACCCACAAGTTCCTCAGGCTGTGCCACAGGACCAATTGGCAGCATGGATGGGAGATGACTAAACAGCACTAAATCCTGATAGAACAGTATCATACTCTCTGCTGAAACAATACATGGGATAATACAATTTTTGACACATAAAATGACCTTGAAATATTATTTAAACTCAGTAGTTTGTTGTTTTTGGTTTTTTTTCCCCTGTTCATTGATTGCAAGATCAGCAGGAGAAAGAGAATTAAGCTGGCTGCCTCCAGGGATCAGAAACTTTCCATAGCATGGAGTGATTTCCATGGATTTTACATAGTAGACAATGTAGTTGGACTATTACAGTCCTCTGTGCTGATCCCTACCTCTCTGCCTATATATTGTAATTCCCTGAAACAGTCTTCATATCTGCATACTTCAAATGACAATAAACAGATTATGTTCATTTTATTAACTAATATACTACAAAACTTAACACAGGGTGTAGCTATCTACATGGTGGGTTAGGTCCTTTTGAGGTATCTATAAGAAGTAAGACAGAAAAGTCAGAAATCAAGGTATCCACCAGGTTTTTCAATGGATTCAACTGCAAAGACCTTGGAACTTGACACTGTACTGTTAAAAAAAATGCTGAAACATTCAAGGCTGAAAAGGATAATTAGAAAAGATTGCTGTAGCATTTGGTAGGAAAAAACATTTGCAAGCTATGTTCTACAGAAGTTAGCACACTCTTCCACTACCATCCATCAAACTCAAAGAGGAGTCATAATTCCTCCTCAGTCTGGAGTGCCTTCCTTCATGTTTTTGCATAAGGCTGTAGCTATAGCATGCTATGGACAACACCCTAAGAAAGGAACAGACCTTTCTGAGGCAACCGGTGATTACAGATTTAGAGATTATAGCATCTGAAATACAAGATTAAAGGTACTGGTTTGTGTGTTCTGGAGAGGAGAACATAGGGCAAGGAAGAATGTAAAGATACCTAAGTGGCGAGTCATCCATTTTTATCTTGCTAAAAAGTAATTGTTTATTTTCAGCTAAGAAGATTTGGATAGCACATCAGCCAACCCACCGAGATGAACAGTTAAAACTCAGAAGTGATATCTGAGGAATCTGTTTTAACCTGAGTCTATGAAGGATGACTTGGATCTTTGTAACCTCGAAAGGGATAACTACAGAGGAGCAAGGAGGCATAAATGAAATGCATAGAAACATCTCAAGGAGTACACATTCTCTCTTGCCATGCTTCACCTTTTCAGCCCGGAGGGAGGCAGGAGCAAGGTGTGGCTGAAGCTCTGTTGGCCTGTTGCTCAGAGGGTGAGAAGCAGGGTCTTTTGCATCCCTTGTACAGCATTAGTGACACCTCATGATATCACTGAAAAGGTCAAGAGCTGTTCTCACACTTTCCTGCTTCAGCCACAAAGTTCCCATCTAGCTCTACAGGTTTCTGCAAGTTTCTTTCATGGGCCCCTTGTATTAAGGCTAGGCAAGGGCCTTACAGCCTTAAAACTGAAGATGATTTAATCAATAAAAAGTCCTTTGCTTAGTATCCACCTTAGCCACGACCTAAGTCAGTTAGGGAGGCAATGCAGCCCTTCCCATCTTTACACAGGAAAGTCAGTCAGCACTTATGGCAGTATTATTTCCCCTTCTGAAATTACCCACCTGGCCTCTTACTTTATTAATACACTTATTCTTGAAAAAACAAGACTGCAGAAAACCCAAACAGTTCAGGAGACATTACATACACATCAAGCATTTAGCAGTCAATTCAATGTTTGAGAAAACTAAGTGCCACAGTAAGACATCTGGAAAGCAAAACAGGCTGAGCAAAATAAAGCTTTTTCCAAACTGGCAATCAGGAAACCAAGGCTGTAAAAGGGTCTGCTTTTCCCAGAGGGAAAAAAAAAAAAAGCAAGCTGGATCATGAAAGACACTAGGGAAGGTGCAGAGGGTACATCAAGCAGACCCTATTAATCCATATAAAGCACCACTAGTAAAACAGTTTAGAGCTGTGGTTGAATATTGAAGTCATCTTCAGGTGCCTTGACTCCCAGCTGGGTATTCTGCAGTGAAAATTAAGTTGAAACCTTCTTGTGTCCTTCCCGCTCTCTTTTCACAGCTCTACTTTTTGAGGTAGACATACCTCACAACCTGTCCCTTCCTTCCCTTGCTGCTCTGTTCTCAAGTCTGCAAGATGCTACAAATGTTTCCATATAGGGAAATATGGAGCTTTGTCTCACACACACAGGTATTCATGCACCTGTACCTTTATCTTTGCAACTGATTTCCTATCCCCAGCTGGAGAGAGGCCAGAATAGTCATCTTTGTGCTTAGTAACTCAAATGAAATGCAGAAAGATTACCAGAAGGTCCCACTGATTTCAGAGTTCATCTCAGCAGCAGGATACTGTAACTTGCCCATTCAAGGCAGAGAAGGCTGGACCAGATCTTGCAGCAAGTCAGTAAATCATGGTGATGGAGAAAACCAAGGAGACCCCATTTGTGTGGCCAATCCAGTATGACTTTTAAATATTTGGCAAGAGTCTTATTAAATATGATACCATACAGCTGTAAGGACATGGCTTAGAGAGTAAGAGGAAGATTTCAATCAAAATTTTAAGACTCAAATTATTTAAGATGCAACAAAAATGTCATTGTTTTAAAATACATTGCTTAAAAGGTTTGCTGCAGGTAGAACTTTAAGGGGTTAAGAGAATTATGATATCTTTACTCAACTTGGATTGCTAATAAAGGCAAACATCCTCCATTTAATTTTTGCAGAGGAAATTTTAACTTTTTAATTTGAAGAAAGATGAAATATTCACTGGCGTTCAAAGCCATAAGAATGAAGACAAATGTAGTCCAGGGAAACTACTAATGCAGCCAAATAGGACTTCTTCCTCTTAAAAACCTGCTGAGTAACTTCAAAATTATTTTGGGGTATTATTCTGGATCGCAGCGTAGCCAATACTGGCATATACACCAGCAGAACTGAATTTCTGTTAAAATTCCAGGAATTGCACAATTAGTGTTTCACTACAGCCTTAAGTAATGAAATAAAATTTTAAACTGATTAGAAAAGGGGATTTTACTTCAATGAAAAAATACCTATGATTTTAACACATCCTTCTACACAGGAAAACCTGGAAGATTTAACAAAAGCAATTGCACTGTATCAGGTGCATTTATAGCTATTTCACATTACTATCGAGGGAAACCCACATTATTTAAAAAGCTAGCTAAACATAGAGAACAACTCAGAATCCAGTCTTACTCTGGTATCAGAGATTATTTATTTTTCTTACAAGGTAAGTCTCAATATTGCTTGAAATTTTTAGTGCACAGAATTTGACTCAGAAAACATCAACAATAATACTATTTCCAATGCCTCTGTTAAACTCACTGTGGGTTCCTGAAAAATACTTTGTGGCTTTGCCCCACAGTACTAGCTTGAAGTTTTTGAGTAATATACCAGAATTCATAACACAAAGCTCCAGGAGATTACAGCCAGTTCTCTGTCAGCCCTAATTTTGTGAATATGGACATGGTCAGTTAATATAGTATAAATCAGTTTCAGGAAAAGTTCAAGCTGGCCCTACTTAAAAGAAATACAAGTTTAAAAAGAAAGCAAGGTCTTCACACAGCTCTGATACAAGCTAAAGAATAAGGCCACTTAAACTTGGTCCTTTTTTTTCCATTCAAAAAAAGGATGATGGAAACATTGTCAGTTAAGTTTGCAAGTCACACATTGCATATCCCAAGACACACTGCTCTCTCTCTCTGACATTCCACTGAAGAAGAGTTTGCCCCAGCTCATGAGAAGTACTGTAGGTGGTGAAGGTGCACAGCTGTGTACCTGGAAACAACTCTCACTAGAAGGCAGACTGCTTTCTAACAGGCTCTTTGTGACAGGAAATTTTTCTTGATGTTAGAACTAAAAGAGGAAGCTCTTCCATTACACACATCCACTGCATGACCAGCCACTGCAGCTGAACAGCCATAGGGAGAATCAACGGTTAAGCAGCGGTACAAAAGCTGCAATAAAAAATGAAAAAATTAGCCACAGCACTGCTGTTTAATGTGCCAGTCCCTTCCATAAAGAAAACACTTTCAAGTTAAGTACAAATTCTTCCAAGCTGCTTTTAAATATCACACATAGTATTTACATATTTATCTTAGTTCATCCCCTAAAGATAGGGAAAAAAAATCTATTGTGCTTTTCATAGCATATCTGTGTTATACTATCATGTACACTTCCTTTGCTGATTATTCAGTTTTGATGGGGGACCACAAAATAAATTTTTGGATCACTTGGTATTAGAATAACCAAATAGTTTTAATAAAAATTGACAATGCCATTAAAAAGGCAGAGGATAAAAAAAAATAAAGCTCCTTATTAATGTATTACTAAAATCTACAATATTCCACCAAGTTTACATAGTCACAGCAACATTGCACTGTTAAGAGGACAGTACATTTGTCACAATGTATTTATTGTCCACACAGGTAATTTATTAGCCAGTTATCTACAAGTATTATTTACCACAGGCAAACTAAATACTGTGCTTTTTAGAAACCTGCATAGAAATGATTGGGTGTTTCTTTTATTTTGGACATATTTACAAAAAGAATTTCTATGTGTGTCAGCAATAAATAATCCCAATATTCAAAATGTCAGTGCTCATGCACACACTGACAAGATGGATGCATGCTTTAAAAATAAATTTTACAGTACAGTCTCCTTCATAGCCCTCTCTCTTATAATAGCAGAAAGTGCATTTTCTTCCATATTCTTTTTCCTTTTCTTGTGTTTTCATTTAGTCTTGCTTCTGAGGGATACAGCCTTCCATCTCAACAACTTCTGGCCAGCCTTCATACTTGTTTGTGTCCTTGTTATTCTTTATATGCTACAAATGGAAAATATCAATCTGCCGTTAATGTGAGGTCATTTATCACTTTGGTTTAAGTCATAGCTTTAAGACATACTTATTTTCAGGCCACAGACAAAGAAAAAACATTATTATCTTCTTGTGCTTTGAATCAAATATAACAATCTATAAGTATTCACAATTTAAAGTAACTTGCTCAGAGAAGTGTGTGGTAAAAAGTTAAGTCATACAGGGAAAACATTTTTAAATGTTATTATAGATGTTTGCTTAAGACAGAAGCAAGGAAATTACCAACTGCATTAAAGCATGAACCACTAGGTAAAAATAAATAAGGATACTAAATTTACAAGGCAATAAAAGCAAATAGAGAGATTTGAAAGAACATTTTGTTTGTCTACTAAACTACCATCTACAGTCAGGTAAGACATTATTGCCTCCGAGAGTCTGCCACTGTTTCTTCACTTAAGTTTCCCCTCCCTTACAAAGCTGGCAGAAGAAAACACATTCTTATACTGCTACTACAAAGCTACTTTTACCAGTAATTAAAGGCAATATTGCCACATGCTGAATTGTAACAGCGAAAGTATAGGAATATATTCTATTTCACAAATTTTGCAATGATAGCAATTTGAGAGAAGAGCAAAGATAACAGCTGGGAATACCAACACCTTAACTACCCACTTATCTCTTGGAAGCTCACTGTTCTTAGTGCATCTCAAACTACACAACTCAGGCAGAAAGCTTTGACTTCTTCAGTTTAATTTGATCATTAAAAAGATAAATAATCTAGTTACTGACATAGTAAGATCTACACCATATAAGATCTTTTTCTTATTTATGAGTCACCAAAGAATCCTTTTTGTACATTTAAAAGGAGGAAAAGGAAAAAACTTGAAAATAAGATTGTGTGCCAGTACTGCAATAGATAGTCATCTTGAACAAATGCATGGCATTTATAAAACATGCTATGCCTCTGTTAATGCAAGCTGTTAAATTCCAGGAAGTTATAGAATCACAAACCTGTTCAAATGGACTTTTAGTCTTAATTCCTTTACCGCCGCAGAAGACCCAGTTGTCTCTGAAGCCAAGGTTTGCAATGGATGTGCTTCCTAATTCAGCGATCAGTTTCCGTGCTTCCTCATTAAGCCTTGAACAAACCAGAGTTCATATGTGAATAAACCACATGCCCTTAGAGCTTTCATTTTTCAGTGCACCAGTCTGCTTTGATCTTATGTAATATACTTGAAGTCAGTAAATACTGGGCAAGATCTATCTTTCAGAGTCAGGTAAGGCTAGTTCTGAAATCATGTGATGCATTGAGCACTGCTCTTTCATACTATAATCTCAAGGAACCAGAATATAAACCTATCACTACACCAACAAAAACCAAGAACCCTCTCCTGTGAGAATTTCTACATCTCAAGTCCTGTCAGCAGTTCTCCAAGCAACTAAAAAAGTCAGCCTTTAAAGTTAACATTGTTTGCAGGCTTAAGCTGAAGTCTAGATGAAGTAAAAGCTCTTTTAGATTAGAAAAATGAAACGAGTATCTGAAATAAGTTCTCATCTGCTTGGGGCAGTTAATTCAAAATTCAGAATGCTGCCTCAGAACATGGTTCAGTGCCTGTAAGCTCAAGTAGGATAATTTTAGTATCTAAAGGAAAAGGAAAACAGTTCTGTAGGGTATCATTCCAAAATTACCAAATAGCAGCTCTTTATTTCTTCCTTCAAGTCACTAAATGTTCTTGATTACCAAACAAGACAAAAAACTTCAGATTACTACCACCTATTGAGATATAGCTGTATGACTCACTTTAGCCAAAATTATGAAAATTATTAAATACTGCGGAGGTTATTTGCCTAACCCATACTCCAGCTTTCTCAAGTATTAGGGCAGCTTGATTCTTCACAGTTTTGCTTCCAAGAACTAGCATTTATATTTACTATCAACTACCAGTGGTAGTTGTAGTATTGTCAGTAAGCAGTAGTTCCTCTCTGTCAGCATAAGGCCAAATACAACTTCTTGTTTAGCTGTATTCTAGCTACAAACAAACTTTCAAAAACAGCAGCTGTAATATGATTGCTGAAGCAAAACTAGCCCTACTTGTTATTACTTAACATCTAAAATGTTAAAGAAGAAAGGGAAGAAGGTAAAATGTAAAGTAACAAAACAAGTAAACCAAACAACAGAGAGAAGATCCAACCTTGGCTAAAACCCCAGTAAATTACTTTCTTCTTTCCTAAAAACAATGAATGTAAACACATTTGACTATTTACTGTAAAGATTGCACACTTCAAAGTCAGTACTTAGTCATAGGGAAGCTGATTCTATATCAAAAATACAGACAAGTTGTAGGTAACAAATTGAACCAAAAGAGGAAAAAACATGTACAGACCACATTAACAAAAAAGTAAATTAGTAAAACAACAGATGAAAAAGAAAGAAGTTTCAATTTTTTACTGTGAAAAGCAATCCTTTGGATAGGATGACTTAAATAGTAGTAGTAGTAGAAGATTATAATACATATTCTAAAGTAATTTTTAGTATCTATTGAAACTGACCCAAGTTGTGAAAGTTGGAAGACAATGCTTCAGGAGACCTAAACCCTCTTAAGCTACATCTAGATTAATACATCTAATAGCTTTAGGGTGAAACACTAAAACATTCAGGCCAAAAATTATAAGGCTCACACTAATAACTTTTGTGACTTTAAATGTAAGAATACAGGCAATGCTTGTTGGGAAAGGTCTCTGCCATCCTGTAACCACCAAACTCTGTCTTGGAGTTTATCTGAAGAAAGTGCTGGATGGAACAGACACTTTCCACCAGAGTATGTTCTTATAATCATGTTCCTATATCTGAATTTACTAGCCTAAGACAGAATGAGCCATCAGCAATAGAAAAATCAGCACACCTCAGTTTTAATTTGATCTTTGTTGTCCCCAGATCACATCTGCATTATGAAACTAATAAAATAAAAGTATAGTTTCAAATCTGTCATATTGGAAGAACAAAGTCTTATTCAAAGTGGTTGTGTGATAATGTACTTTTTTCAATATAAAACAGCATGTGAAATTTTAAGTAACATTTTCTGTTTAAAATCAATTACATACTTGGTCGCACCATCATCATATGTTGCCATTAACACAATTGTTCCATCCTGGATGGTCTTCAGAAATTCAATAAGTGGTGCCACATCTGAAAAGAAAGAGAACATAAAACTGTTTAATAATTGGCAACAATTCTGTATTTAAACAGCTGCAATGCCCTTCTGCAAAGACATTACTTTTAAGAATATTTGTAAAGATAATATGTATTAATATTTCTATATATAAAATACATATAAAATTTATAAATATATCACTATAAAAAGATGCAGAGTGAGAGAAAGCTAAAATGCATCAGAGAACTCTTATTTTATATAAAGAGTTTAATCGTTATTGTGTAAAGACATAACCACTAATGAGAACTACTCTGGAGAACAAGTCTGTTTGATTAACCACACCATTCTCTCCCACCTCAACTACTTATGTTTCTTTAAAGTTGCACTATCCTCACAATTACAAAGAAAGAGGTGAAGCATTCCCTTAACTATCACCTTAATCACAGGCAAATGGAGTCTGGACAAGAAGGAATAAAAAAAGCACATTTGTTGCTTCTCTCTGACCAGTGTACTTGCACCTACCTCCTCCCCACATGTCAAAGAACTTGGTATCTAATAATTCTCCTGTTTTACCTGAAGGAAAAGAGAAAAAGAAACATTTAGTGTCATCAAATATAGCCAAAATTATTTTACAGATAACATGTCCAACTCCTCTTGCACTCTTTCAGACAAAGTGCTGCAGAAGACACTAGATAAATTAATTGCAGTAACTTCTCTTCTAAAGAAACAGTGTAGTGGTTTGTGAAAAAGTGCAGGGAAAGGTAAGAGAAAAAAAGTGAGAAGACCCAGGGAAGTGTTGGAGGCCAGGCTGGTTAGGGCTTTAAGGAACCTGGTCTAGTGCAAGGTGTCCCTGCCCATGGCAGGGGGGTTGGAACTGGGTGATCTTAAAGGCCCCTTCAAACACAGACCATTCTATGATTCTAGGCAAAATTCTGATTTTGCTTCAAGTGGAATCTAAAATAAATCAAAACACCCACAGGCTCTAAAACTAACACAGAATATTCAATTAATATATCTGCCTTTTTTTAAAGTTGTTTTTGCAAAAATATACACTATAAATAAAAATATAAAAAAAATACACACTATAGCTATAGACTGCCTTTTATGCCATATGGAAAGTCAGAAAGATTAAAATTAGACTGCATGTTTTGCTATAGACTTACTACTACTGTAAGTAGATTTAAACAGCCAGAATAAATAGAAAAAAGCGGACAATATTGTATATCTTATTACCTTTTCTTATTATGCTGTCTACAAAAGAGTATTTGATGGAAGGTGGAGGTTTTTTTAATTTATACATTCATTTAAAGTTTGGGACACAGAGAGAAAGACTG